GTCAGATAACTCAACTTACCACTCTACACAGAATGAAAAGATGTGACAACAGCTCTTATTATACTAATTCAGTTCTCTAGTGCACCAATAATCATAAGATGACATGATTCCTGCACATATGCAGAAATGAAATTTCTTAACTTTTCCATGTCCATTTTTAGAAATTCAAGGACTATTCCAATCGAGTCACACAAGAAACTGCACCAGGACGTACATTTTCAAATGTAAATATCATACAAGTATTGGTAAATAATGTTTTATATGGTGAAGGAGCGTTAATATTTTTATTACTAATGTAGCAGTATTCAAATGTAACTGAATTATTTGAAAATAAAAATGTCATAGTGTTTCAGTGTTTATTGTTTGACAGTTTGTTTTGCTAACTCTCCAAATCAACTGGGATTGTTTTCTTTTCTGGCAGAAAGTAAAAGTACAGACTCTCTCTGAAACAGGTGATTGCAGGGATGTCATGAGAATCTCTTTGTACTGCCTGAGAATAGTGTCACAGTCCCTTTATTTCACTCTGCCTGCATTTACCAGACTTTTTAGATGACATGAAAATTTGACCACACTGGATGATGCATTTAACAATATTACTTTTAGATTCAAGCAGCCATGTTCCTTGCTAAGCTATAAGTTAAGGGGATTTTTGAATAATTTTCACAACAACAATAACCCTAAGGAACTGCCTGAATTCAAATCTAAAGCCTAGCAAGTCTTTATCACTAATTTTTGAAGTCCTTTTTAAATCATTAAGGACATTCTTTGTAACAAAACCAGTATGAATTTTGGAAGGTTCCTTTAAAATATTTTTGTCAAATCCAGGTTTGCAACATATATAGTCCAGTTATGTTTTTCATTCATTCTGAAGTGAAAAATCTTTCCAGTAATCTTATGACAAGACCAAAGGGATCTGCAGCTATAAAAGGTAACATCATTTTATCATGTGGAATTATTTGAGGAAAGTTTCAATTTCTCTAGCAACTGAGAGAGAAAAAAAACTGTTTTGAAGAGGAAAGAAGGAATTATCAGCTTCTAGAATACCATCATTTGACTTTCATTTTGGTGGGTTTTTCTGTGCACCTACATATGCTTTAGGAGAGGTAGCAGGGACAAGTACTGTTACAAAATGCCAATGTTCTTCAGCCATAGGTGTGTACAAAACTTTGGTGGAAGATCTGAGCATCCAGTTACACTTTTGAAGTCATCAGCTCTTGCTGAAGACTTCATTGAAAAAAATAGTACAAATCTTCTAGTTTCTTCAAATTTCCAGTCATCTACTTTACAGTCATCTTTAAAAGTATTGTAAATTATGTGTAAATCACATGATCCAACAACCAATAAGTGTCATTTTGGACTGATTTATTAGCTTCATTTGATAACATTTCATGTTATTTCTAATTAACATTGGAGTTACCCATGGATATTTACAATAAGCTCTTACAACTGAAGTCTGTGATGATAGAAAACAGCTTGTCAAATAGATTAGAGGTAGTACCATGTTTTAAGAACTCTGATTTTTATATATCTTGTGTGAACAGTTTGTTTTTTTCCTTCCAAAAGTGAGCATGAATGTCACAGTTTTATCTTGAGGGATTTGTTCAAGCTCTTATCAAATAAAAGAAAATACCCATCAGACTTCTGGATTTTCTGCTTCAGTTTAATCAGCTAATCCACATACAGTTGAGTATGAAGTTTTGTCTTCCCCACGTAAACGTTTTTGAGCAATTTCAATGTCAGGGAATACTCTTGAAAATATTATTTTATTACAAGTTACAACTTTTACAGTAAAGAAGAATATTTTTAAAAACAAGTGCTTGAGAATGATCATATCAGTGATCAAAATGTCGTACCTCTTTTAAAAATATTCCTCCTTGCTAAAAAAGCTGTAACTTGTAATAAAATAATACTTATAATCAATAGGTAAATTCAAAACCAAACTATTAATACTCAAATTAATCTCAAACCAATAAAACTTCTGATCTTAAAACATCAGTAGAAGAAACAAATGACTGATTGCTGGAAGTTGAACTGGTGTCAGTCACAGTGGTAGTTTAGTTTTTTAAGATGGGCACTTTCTGTTCAAGTAGCTTGAAGAAGAAGCAGATAGTAGTATTGTTGCTTAATATTGCTTTCAATGTCTTTATATTTTTGCCTTTTTCTTACTTGTCATATTGACTTCACAAAGCTGCTTCTCCCCTGTTGATAATGTTGAACTGTGTGAATCCCTTTCTAACCATTCCTGGTAGTTTAAATTTAATAAGCAGCTTGTTTTTAAACTATACTGGCCTGGAATTTTGCAAACCTACAAGGGTGGGTGATAGAAATAAATATTAAATTTACAATACAAACAATGGTCATTTGTTTACTTTATACTGTTCTTATAACATTATATTCAATACTCAAATGCATCAAATCATTTTGTAATGCTGTTAATTTTTTTAATTTGGTTGTATTAAATAATATTTATCATAAAATTTCTATTGAGATATATATATTAATTATTGTTAATTATTCATTAAGAATCCCTATTTTTATTATATGTGTATTAGTATGCATCACTATAATTTTGCTATTATTGTTTCGATACAATATGCCTGTTTTAGCAGGATTCCTAGAATTTCAGAGAATTATTTGCTAAAAACAAATAGATCTAGGCCTAGTGTGAGTGAAATTGTTTTTAGACTGATGATGTACATGATAGTCCATGTTTGGTTTGGCTGCACTGGATGTCCAATATATTGTTAGGCTTTGAGTTATTTTGGAAATTTTTCACTAATTGCAGGTCTTAATGCAGCAATACAAACACAGAAAATAGATTTATACAGTTGCTGTATATAAAACGTGGCATGTGTTTGCACATTTTCTACAAAAACCTGATTTTATGGTAAATGATGAAGCTGGTACATTTTTAACCGTCATAAATTTATGGACAATTTCAGTTATGCTGTAGACCAAGTAAAAGATGAAATTAAAAATTCCTTGGTGTGACTTATACTACTAGATGCAGATATATCACTTTCTTTCTATATCAAGCATAAGCATACAGAAGTATAATAAAATGTAACATTAGCAAAAATTAAACCTAAGCCTAACAAATGCTGATATACCAAAAACAAGCAGCAACAGATAAAGATTTAATACAAAAGGTACAATTTATTATTAGATCTATATCTGAATCCTGCAAATACAACTGAATGAAGACTAACTCCAAGTAAAATGTCTTCACATCTGTTATTTAGACATGTCTATAGTGGAAAATTGGCTGATTTCATTGAAAATGTATGGCACTAATAGACCTCTACATCTAATAATGAATGCATTTTCTGCTTAATCTCTAAAAACTAGATTCAACATTAGATCTATTAAATCTAATTGTTACATACATAATTCAACTTGCTTCTCATACCATACAAAGAATAAGGACTAGGCCTCAAGTTAGTCAGGTAGGCCTATATCTATCTGTGTAGGCTTAATTAGGTGTCTGAAGTTGTAACGATTTAATAATTTTTACTATGTTATAATGTAGATTAAGATCTAGAAACTATATCTAAATCTAGTTAACACATTAGGCCTAGGTGCTAACATTAGACATGTTAAGTTTTAACGTTAGTCATGTTAGTGTCTGATTCACAGGAATGATTTTAAGATCTAGCTTCTGTATGTCCCTAGAACTAGTAGAAGCCCTATAGAGTATAATGTGTTATGAAAACTGTAATCTTTTAATACAAATTCTAGTGTTTTCATTATCTTGTAACCAAACTTGCAATGTTTATCAAAGTATTTAAAAAAATTTACTTACCCAGTTAAATCATGGTATAAACAGATTGGTTAAAATATGGTGACCATGTTCTTGGACCCATGCAGGAAATCAGGTGATAAATAACATTAAAAAAAATTTTGATAGTTCAGAAGAAGCATGCAGTAAGAAATGTTTTAAACTCTCTAGGCCTAATATTGGTGGTGACAAAGGGGATAATCTTAATATATCCAAGCATGAACCTGTTAAGTTTTTTTATAAAATAAAAGTATAGTGTAGTGGCTAAAAATGGTATATTTTTGGCTGAATACTCTATTGAATAATGGGTTCAAGTTCTTCAAATGGCTTCCAATACTTCCTTTTCAGATTTTTCATTACCAAACTTTTTACTCAAAATTGAAACATACTGGAAAGCTAAAATAAAATTTCCTTTATTTTTTAATCAAATCATTATATACCATACATTTGCCACTCCAAGGCTTTCAGATAAATGTCCATTTATTACGTCAGTAGTCACACAGTTCTGATGTTGAACATTGTAAGAATTTTTCTAATTGAAACTCTTTTAACCCTAAAATTAGAAGTTGATCATACAGAAATTAGCAGCTGTTTTGGTCATCGCAATACTTGGCAAACAATAAAAAAACACTTAAATTACCTTTCAACAATAGTTTAGTATTAGTGTTCAAAAACTACAACTTTTGTGCTCATCAGTTTACCTACTGCAGAGAAGTATTCTTTTGAATATCAGTTCTTCCTTACATTTGTGTCAAAATTTTGATGGAAGTCTATTACATGTTTCATAGTAATTTTACCTATAGAAGATCTATTTTAAGTGCTAACCTAGTCAATATTTACTGGGAGAATGTCTGTATGTCCTGCTTACTGTAATCTTAGTTGCAAGTGCAAAGTTAAAAGGTGTGATGTTTAGAGTTGCACAAGTAACTCGATATAATTGATTGCCTATGAGCATCAATTGATAAGTAAAATAATCAACTACTTGAAGTTACAATTAAAATAATTAATGCCATGAATGTAATCAACAACTCAAATTACTGTTTCCAATTATCACCTTTTTTTTCATTGTTCTAACTATTCAAGTAACTGAAATACTGCCTTTACCAGTTCTCATTACTATTTTTAATTTATTCAAGGTTGTTCAGCTTCCTTGATTGGTCACAACTCACAAAAATAATCAATTCATCAAAATAAGTAATTCATACTATTTTTGATTATTACAATTATCCTCTCATGAGAATAACTGATTAATAAATGTGGTGGATGTGGTTTCTGTTGAAATTAACATGAAGAATAACTCATCCAAAAAATATTTGAATCCAATCAAAAAAGTACAAGAATACTGCAAAACAGAAGAAATAGTAAGAATACGATATTTTGTTTTTGTCATTGTGATCATTTTCACTGTCTAAGGTCGTTATGTGATTGAAATGCCTTAACCAAATAAAGTCAAAAAAAGATAGTTAGAAAACATTTGTTTTTGTTTCTCTTAGATGCTCTGTGTTCTGGATGCATGAACATTTTGAAAAACGATTCTAATAGTGCAAATCAAACTGGAATGGTCCTGAGAAAATGTAGCCTTATTTTGGAAAAAACTTTTTATCAACACCAAAGTAATATTTTGTAAATTTCAAATTGCATTTTTCAAAAGGAAGAGATTACACTCTAAACTTATGCAATTTTATATGATAAATTAGTTTAGTGAATATTTTCTTGTTCAAAGCCAACATCAAAACATGGACAATTTCTGTATGATTAACTTGTTAACATTAACTTCTAACCAGATCAAACTACTACTCAAAGAAAAATTAAAAATCAAACTGGTAATGAGTATAGCTGATTAAATATACTTTTCTTATGTTCTTACTTATAAAGATTAGAAAGTATAGTTTCATCTTGTTGGGTCCCTTGCTGTTAACAATATTTTCTGCTGTAATTCGAGTATTATCTCATGAGGTTTGACCAGCTTAGGAGATTTATGTTAGTCCTAAATACATATATTAAACTAAAAATGCAAACCAATGTCTATAATAAAAAGTATAATACAAAAAAGCAATAAAATCAGATATATAACTCATTCTTACCAATGCTGTTAAAGAGTGTAACAATAATGAAATATACCTTAATTACAAAACTCACAAACACTAGCTGTTGGCTTCAAGTACTGTTGCCAATTTAATGTCGTGTTTCAGGTTTAAATATTAAACACAAACAGTGGTACTTGACTAAAAATATTACAAATTTATAAACATAGCAATGTGATGCTGCCAGTTGCGAGTTAAGTTCAGGCTGGGTGCCATTTTTTTTATTGAGGTTTAAACACTAAATAAAAGATACCTGAACAAAAAGCTGTTAAAAAAAATAGATAGGCCAATTACAGATGCGACTTATTTATCATACAAGAAAACAATCAGATGACAAAACATTTCATTCTTGTAAGATAATCCAGTTTACTACTCTACAAATAATTGCAAGCTGAGACATGAGAACAAAACTTACTACAGTAACACAATTCTTTGTACCAATAAACAATCACAAGATGAAACTCCAAAGCAGACCCCATTACTATAAGGTTTTTAATTTCAATCTACCAAGTGATGAAACAAATTTGACAATCTTCATTCCAATAAATAGAAGTATTCCATGGTATATACAAAAATTAAGAGATAGAAATGAAAAAATCCTTACTCCAGTGAAAAACAAATCAGTACTTCCGAATATGAACTACCAAAAAATATATAAAAATGACATTAAATCTCCTTCCAGCAAGATGAATCACTATTCTGCACAAGCCACAAGACAGATATGACAACAAACCCCATGATAATGTGATGACTTGGTTTTTGTATTCAACAAAAAAACAATTATTAAACATGGATTTCAAACTGAGACTTTTGAACCTGAATATACCTGAAAAAATACATTCATCTCATTACAAGCAAACTTCAGTATGCTTCACAGAGTTGAAATTTGTCATGTTACTGTGTGGCTCAATTTTTTAAAACTTAAAATAACAAAAATGCATTTCTATACCTGAGAAATTACGTCTCCATGTGCTGTTCTCACTTGATATAAATAACGATACTTCCTTTGTCTTTGCTCTGCTCGAGATTCCTCTCGTCTGATTCTTTGGAGATTGACTTGTCTTGTTCTTCTGCTGGGTCTCACTGAGTAAACACAAAGGGTTTTATCAGAGTACCTTTTGTGTAGTTATTTACAACAGGTACTGGACCATTGCTTCAAGTATTACTAGATGCAAATGTGATACAAATATGTGACCTACCAACTAACAGGTTTTGGTACTTCACAAACAGCATTGGACAAGTGCCAATACCAGCTGTTGAGAAAATAAGAGAACTCAGAAAACTGGAGCTAAATAATCACAAGGTTGTATCATATTAAAAATCACCTGACAGAATTTTAAACTTTTGCATTTTTATTATCATTGTATAGTTAATCTATTTAAAAAAAAACCTCTAACTCAACAAATATATGTCACACATAAAATACACACAGTTATTTACTATCTCAAAATGACAGCCAAATCATTAGCATAAGTACCAAAATGTTCAAAAAGAATAATGAACCCACAGTATTACTAAGCTATAACTTTTTATATTATTATTATAATCTACTTTACTACTATTACTATTATTCTTCTAGCATTATTTCAGTGTTCTTCAACAACTAAAATAAGTGTTGTCCTACTTTGTACATTTAATTCTTACACCGAGGAAGTGTGCAGTATTCGTCTCAGTCAATCAATGAATGTGTTACACATGATCCTTGATTAATTTATGCGAGTTAATGGTAACAAATTATAAGCATGAAAAAAAATATTCTTTAAAAGAAAATGTGACAAATCAGTGATTAAAAAGGGGGAAGGATTTAGAGTATTAAGACAATTATGTTTTAAATGGGACATTTAGCAGCTGTGTAAAAATCCCCTCAATTTTACTCTGTCTCTATTATTCATAGGTTTCATGTTAAGAAATATTTGTCCCATTGTAGATGAACATAGCTTTGCTAAAGTTAACTGCTAAGTGTCCAGCAGTTACTACATTAAATTGACAATGAAACACCTAAATCACAATCTCTTTTATTGCCCTGTGATTTTCTTGTATCACAACTAAAGTAAACACTCACTTTCTTCATGGTGAATGCCTCGGCCAGTGATTTTCCACTGAGTTAATCCACCAACTAGAACCATGAAGGGCCAGATCCCAAGGATTAACCAGGAAAACCAACAAGGTGGGTGAGAAGGGGCCACACGAACACGATCCCAGACCCAATAGAGCATGATGAATTTTTCTATAAAATAATCTGCACTCGCTGCTATTATAGCACCTCCATAGATGCTTGTGCCTAGTATTGTACAACCTGTAATGTACCAATTCTATTTTTAATTATTGGTTATCTCATAATGAATTGTACTCAACCACAAAAACACAAATGCAGTAGCTTATGAAAAGAATGATAAATAGCTAAATAAACCCATTAAAAGACGTAAAATTATTGATATCTTTGAACAAACACTATCAAGAAACCATTAACTTATATAAAAAATACATAATAAATTTATGTAATCAAAAGTACAAACTAAAAACAAACAGACTTTTGTGACATAAAAACACATAGAAATTGTATTTGATATTATGCTTTTTTGAGATTATTTACAGATTATAAACTGTATTAACTTAAACTGCTTAAGTCATCTTAAGTTTTAATAACACTTGTCACAGAAATAAAGCTAGTTCTCAAAGTAATGTTATATAGCACAAATTGAAATTCTCACTCAAATGTATACAACAGTAATTAGGGACAAATGTGTAATTGGTATTTAATATTTGTGTCCTTAATGTAACTTCTAGCAAAATGCTCAAAATGTTTGATATTGTTTATCTTATTTTCAGTTTATAAAAGTATCTGAGTATAAGGACAAAAATAGAGAACTGAGCTAAAAGAAAACTGTTGTGAAAAAAAAAAGGTACCTTGCTAGCTTTAATAAGATGTACGATGGGTAGTACAGTGAGAATGAGCAAACACATTATTTTCTTTAATATAAAAATGTCTGAAACTACACATTTCTGTTTAATACTTATCTGTATTGAGAATTTTTCTTGATCAGAATGGTAATGAATATTATTGAGTCAAAACTACAAAGGAACCATATAGGCAAATTCAGAACTATTGGTATTTGAAGTTGCTCTAATGGAATGAATTTTGTGTGTGAGCAAGATTGAACTATATTTTACAGGGCTTTTTGTTCATATCTGTTATTAATGGGCATGAGTGTAATAGATTTGTTTTCTACCAAGTCAATGTTAAAAGTTATTCTCCACACAATGGTTATTCACTTTTTATGTTATTCTCATCACTGTTTTAGGTTACATTTAAACAATAAAGATTAAATATTTTCCCAGTTATTAGATTTCGAAAGACCTCTAGAGTATAGTTATAGTTACCTTTCTGGAAGAAAAGTATGATTACAGCACCCAAGAGGCCACAACCAAGCAAGATTCCCACTGTTATCCATACTGTAGTAGGCGAGTACCAAAGATAAGCTACCATGATGGCAGCAACTCCAACAAAGAGCCCCATGTGAAATCCTGTCATGAAGAGTCCTACATATTGCACCAGCATTGTGATCAGTCCAAAGAGCAAGCCTGCCCCAAGTGCTACACCCGAGTTTCCTGCAGCTGGAAGTAGTTTTCCTCCAGACAGATCAAGTAAACCACAACAGACCCAAAGATGAAACCAGTGAGAAACATCACAGCTTTGAAACAACGATAACCTGGAATGATTTTTAAGGACACATAGTATAAAACAGTTATTGTTTGCATGCATCATCATATAATTTTTAGGATATTTAAATGTTTCAATAATATTTCATTTTTAATGCAAATATAAATATTATTGGAGTCCATATTCCTCCTACTATGTAACATCACATATTTTAATACCATAACACCACATAAAATAAAGTGCATGATTAACACAATACATTCTTAATAGTGCAATGACACAGGCCTGTGAATTTAAACTTCATAAAAGTTGTTTTGGTTTTAATAATGAATTTTCCATAAATCAATTACGCAGATCTAGAAAATAATATTCATTTTTTTCTATCACTTAATGATTTTTTACAAACTGGGAAGAAAAAAAAACACTCTTACTTAGATCAAATTATTATTTTGGTTACCACAATGAACATTTTTAATTATTATGTTTGTTAACAAAAATATAAACAAACTGAAGGAAAGGGAAGAACACTGATGTCAAACAAATATGCATCCTCATTCATCCCGATTTTTTTGTGAAATCTACGTCTTTTAGTCTCAAAAGTAAATGTTGTGGTCTTTCTTTTATGTATTGCATTATGACGTTTTGTGAAAAATCCGTACGTGATGAAGAAAAAAATGGATATTTTCAGAATTGGCATACAGGAATTACCGTAGAACATGTAAAAATGTCAAGACAATAAAACCATCACAGGCCTGTGTAATCAATTAGTATTCTTTGGATCTTTATATAGAACAGAAGATGGAAAATTAACTGCGTGTGTACATAGACTATTTTACTGACTTCTGTTTTGGCAAGTTCCTCAACACCAGGAGAAGCCCATGAAACAGTTTACAGGTTTAATACACTGGTTGAATTCACCTTAAAACTACATGTACTTAATAAAAAAATACACCTGTCAATACTCTAAGAGTAAGATAATTAGCACTATATTTTATATCAAGTATTTTCAAGTTTTTCCTTTAAAAAATTTGACAGTCATTTAAACAGATGACTTTAAAGCTATAGTTGAATCACCTATGGATTTTCAATTAAACAGTTTATTTCTAAGGAAAAAAAGTGAGGGATGCAGGGAATGCAAATTTAGTGTTCAGCACAGCACGTGCTTTTGAAGAATCACAGGATTGGTATGTCATGAATGAAACTTCCAATAAACAGTGTCAGACAACAAAATTTTGAATGAGATTATAATGACTGAAATATGTACAAAAGACTTTCAATCGACATGGATTTTTATGGATTTCAAGATTTTTTGAAGAAAAAAAATTATAATGAAACATGGGACAAGTCATCACATATTAACAGAACCAAGTGATGTAATACTAATATAGAAAGTATTTGTATACTTTTAAAACCTTATGCTCAAACAGTTTGATAAAGAAGCAAACACTGCTGGACGTTCTGATTATTTTTCCTCAGCAGCCTTTTAAAGTATCTTAATTTATCTACATTTTTACCTTGTATGAAGGGTGTATATCTTATGTGGCACTGTGAAGGACTTGCTAGCCCTTGGGGAATATTGTGTAGAAGCAAAAACCAGTTCTGTTCCCCATTAATCATACTTATGCTCTGTAGAAGCCAAGAGATATACAATAACCTGTGTCTTATAGAAAATCTGAGACTGCTGTGTTGAGTTTTTTTGTACAGTCTACTGATTCTTCTGTAATATTTTATAGGAATTGCATGTGGGCATTTCTTTGAAAAACTAAAAGCAATTTATGATATCATATTTTGTTTTCATAACTAATACTATTTACTATGATGATTCACCAATGACATCAAAAACAATCATTGATGGGTGATTTATTAAATAATTAACTCCACTTTAGCAATTAAGAAGTGATTTTTTTAACTTCACAAGCATCACACATCATTATAAACGTTTCGCAGCTGATATAATACTATTAGTTTTTTATTCCACCTGTTCTAGCAATTTTTTGAATGATTTGTAATGAGACTTTGCATTATTCTTGATTAGCAAACACATTAATGAATATGATGTTCATCTTCTTAAATGCATGGAAAACAATACTATTAGAAAAAAAAAAGAATGAAAAAGTTCTAATGAAAAAGTGCCAAGTATTATATCTTATCAAGAACAATGTATTTCTGATTAAAAAGTTAATGTTTATGTAAATATTCTAAGAACATAAATATTTAATTAAAAAAGAAGATTATTAAGGCAAATTGCATGAATTTAAGTAGTAGCAAGACAGTTGGAAATAGAACTGTAGAAATCAAAAAAGTTTTAAAACCAATGACAAAGGCAACTACAGAAATTCTAATATATTTTTAAAACTATTTTAGCCTACTTTTTTGTTTTACCAGTGTTTATGTGGTTCAAAAAGAAATAATTTTATAAAATCCATCAGAAGCTTGTGGTAGGGTACATAATGGTTTTATAGATTGTAAAAAAACATGAAAAATATATCTTTCTTTGACAGAATGAGTCATAACCTTCATCTTTTGACTCTTGTATAATCAATTTTAGAAACTGCTGTTATACTAAAGCCTTTCACAAACTACAGCACTGCTTTAGCCATACAACATATGAATGAATGCCGATATTATAAAAACAAAGAAAGATATATTTACATTATAAATGCATATTTTACTTCTTATCATTGAAAAATGTTTTAAGTGCAATAAGTAAAATGTTCAAATATGGAGGATGAGTTGTTGTAAACGTCTTTTTAAACGATTACACACATTACCCACAACTAAGTCCTTGAACAGAATAAACAACAGTCAAAGATAATACACTTAAATGTATCCTCTGGAGGAATAATGCATGAACAAATTAATTTTCCTACTGAAAATACGTTACATTTCATCTTATAAGATTAGTAGAAAAATATTGAGTACTAGGATGTGCTTTTCTGTAAAAACATGAAAAATGTTGAACTGATACATATTGAAAGGAAACATGTTTACTGGTTATCATTTTGTTCATTCTAAAATGTATTATTATATCGTTTTAAAAAAAATATTATAATAAGGATCTCGATTAAAACTAAAAACTTAAGTACAGTAGTTTAAAAATACTGCCCACACTAGTGAATTTGAAAACTTACCATAAAGAGTGTAAACAATACCAAATACTAAGTACATCCCACAAATTACTGCTGTTGTGATGTCATAGTTATAATCAAAATACAAACAACGTGAGTCCTCATGGTCTTCCAGTACAGTGTTGTTGATGGAGGAAGCCAAAGAATAATCATCATCAAGGGCCATCTTCAGTATAAAATCTAAAAAGAGATTGTTAATACCAAGAATTCTAATACTATCTTAATGTCCTAATCAACTGATATTCACAAAAAATATTTTATTTATTTTGAATTTGTATCATGTATACAGTCATAAACAGTTGTCAGATAGTAGATATCTACAAATCACCATGTAATAACAATTAAAAATAAGCATTTCCTTTACATATATAATTGGCAAGCTAATAATACATCACCTGACCTTAAAATACCACAAAAATTATGGAGGTTTACTGTTCACTACTTTGAGGAAATTTATTCTACATTTATAATCAAAACTGGATTTAACACATAGTGTTGCAACCAAAAAAAAGAGAGACTTGGATGTCTGAAACAGAAGTTTTCTGTTAGTTATCCACGGTTTTATATGACTATTGCTTGGTAAAAGGACATGCTGATGACAACATTTTTACATGGTGAATCTAAGAAACTCTTTCTATCACTATATATGTTCTGTAGATGAAAAACTGTGAATCTAAGAAACATATAATACAACAAAAATTCAAACTTACAAAAGTACGTACTAAACTTTAGCAACAGGAACAGCACAGATTTATTGAGAAACATCTACACCTTATGCAACTACACCCGGTGAAGCGAATCATACAGTTTTTAAACCATTATACAGTATTCCTATATTACAAAATAAAACAGGAATATTTTTCCCTGACGAAATCTTACAAGCACCACTGCTATTGCGAAGTTTACATATGTAACTCTAATGTTAAATATAATTCGTTAAAAAATTCTTGTACCCATTCCGTTTACATAACATAGGATGAAAAAGAATTACGTTCATAAAAGAACACGAATGGGTGAATGATATTTACGTGCATTATTAACGTGATTGGTGGGGAGCCCTATATGAGCTATGGGCCCTGTACAACTTTGGTTAATCTGGGCCTGGGAGCAATTATTGATGTTGATCAGCATCATTTTCTGTATCATATTGCACTATTAAGAATTCACACGGTCTTCAGTCCTGCAAAGAGATATTACGAGTCAAACGACTGGTGAAAACCCTGTGCTCACTCATTAACTTCGTACACTGAACAGTGACTGTTTATCAAGATCCGCGTCTGATTAGTACGCAAAAAAAAAAAATCATGCAACTCTTTCGAACGTGTTGAAAGCTTGATACGTTGGATCTTCAAACCGTCTAGAATGTGATAAAAAATGAATCTTTGATTTTAAAAAACTGCATAATATTCACATACCGTAGTAAATAGTGTCTTGTGAACAGTAAACAGGAAATTATGAAATACGTGATGGATTAAATATTGTTTAACACTGCATAGCCAAATTAAAGGGTGAATATTGTTGTAGTAAGGTTACACTTTGTTATATGAAAAAAGGTAGTTTTATCTTACTATAAGTATAACGGACGTAAAACATCTTTGTACAGTTACAGTGTTGTAACTTCAAGCTACAACGCTGAACGATGTGATGTTAGAAAGGCAGTTTCTCATACATAGTTAAAAACGTCAAATTTCGAAATTATAATGTTCAGTTGCAGTTTGTTATATTTGGAATTTTTGCACACAGTACACAAGATCTATCTGCGCATATTTGTCCCTCATTTTGAACTGATAACACAAGAGGCATGACAGCTTGTGAATAACACCAATCGCTAGCTCTTGAGCTAATCTAATTGGACAGCGGGATTTAACCATCATTCTTACAGCACACCCTCGACCCGAAGTGAAGAGCGCATTCTTGTCTCGGCAACAGAACCATGAACCCTCGGATTCTCAGTCCGGGCACGCTAAAATTAGGTTACAAATGCGATTTTCTAGTATTAATAACGAAACACAGCTCGGACAACAGTCATCGAGAGGTGACAGTCTTGAGCTACATAGCAACTTTTCATTGCCTCACACACCAACTAAAGACCCAGACCCAAAAGAATAGTACAGTTAAAAGTATAAGCAACAAATAATGTAAGTTTCTATCAAGGAAAGTTTTAAGTAAATAAACATCCATTAGATTACTATGGCTATATCATATTATCATATGTATACGCACATGTACACACATACACGATACGGCATTAGGCTGTAGACATTTACTAATTAGGTTCGTCACAATTTTTTTTTTTATTTACGTTTTCTAAGTTCTCTGGTTACTCTTAAGAACAAATAAAAATTGTAAAAGTTTGTTTAAAAGTCATGCTAAAAATGGCTCCAGTTTTAACCAATATATTCATCTTTTTTTATACCTTAATTCTTCCGGAAAATTTGAATAACTTTGTACTGTTGCTTCTCACATATTTCCTACTAGTTAACATTAAAGTTGAAATTACAGGTAAAAAACTTAATTCAACATAAACTATTTTATATACATAGTTCTAAAATCATGCCTAGATTAGTTCAACTAAATTATACATGAATTTTAAAATGTAACATTAACACTGAAAACGATGAATGTATTTTACTAGTTTCATACGTCTTTCAAATACTACTTATTCATGCTTGAAGTTAATAGCTAAATATTAAATACTTACTAAAAACAATAACTGAAAATAGTATATTTATAAAATCTACGCAGACAAACTAATTACCTTCACTCATCAAATACTTCAATTTAAAAGAGGAAGGAACTTGTGACGGCCTTGATTGACACCAGTGACTCTGTTTCCACACTTTATACTGATCATTTTTTATTAGGTTTTACGATTCTAGTTTACATTGATATAAAGAAGACTGCTAGTTCTTCTAATTAAATACAGGCCTCTTGTGTCGCAGCCACTAAGAAAAAGACGTCCTCCATGCGTGGGTTCAGCTATCGACTAACAGTCGTATATGTACAGATAGTTTAAAACCGTTACAAACCTCCTCTGTCCCATGTATAAAGAAAAATGCTACGCTTAACCAACTGTAATGACGTCACGTGAACGCCAGTCGGCGCCAGATTAAACAACACAGACGGAGGTGTTTAACACTAAGTTAGTATGTAGCATATGATTCAATTAAATAATGAAATATATGTTAAAACTCACCTCTATTTATACCGATAAGAGCACGTGGATTATAAAATCTGAGGTCAAATAGTCAGAAGCTCATGAGATTCTTGATTTAAAAACCAAGTTCCACACTAAAGATAACAACAAGACTATGCGCACTACAACACCGGTGATTTTAACAATTAAACAATACGGTTCATATCTTTTGGCATAATTTCTAGTCTTACTTCTATTACCGCAAGATATGTAACAATAAGTCTTCATGCTATCCTTGACTGAATTCTGAGCTTTTATTTCAGGAAAAAAACCTTGAAATATCTGAACCGAATCGCAAGGTTTGATGATTGTATACTCATAATTTTAAACACTGTTATTAAGTTAGGTTTAAATTTTATGTTTTTTGTTCCCTGACTATTCTGAGTGATAAGGTTCCAGGAGCGAACTAGTCTATCTGAAGGGCCACCAACAACACGTGCGACGAACCTAAGCTAAGTGATACTCAAGTTAAGCGTACCCCAAACAATGCAACGCAATCCCAACATGACCAATTTTGACACAAGGAAAATCGCGAAAAATACAGGATATCGAAAACTGTCTATATCTCTGCTTGGGATTTGAAAGAAGGTATCTTTGTACCAAATCCCATGTAAGTTGGTTGATATACACTTGAATAGTTAACGAAAACCCTAAAAAGGAAAACCCTTTCCTCGCTGAAAATTGAGCAAAAGACAAAAATTCCAAATATATATATATATCTGTTTCGGACATGCAAATAGTATCTTGGTAACAAATTCCATGTAAATCGGTCGCAACAAGGCTAAGTAATTGACCAGAATCCCTAAAATCATTGGTTTACTTAACCTTTTAACCTATCCCTAAAATGAAAAAAAAATTAGCATATCCCACATTTTTGCATGTATATATATATATATATCTGGGACCTGTAAAAAAGTATCTTTGTACCGTGTAAATTGATCAAAACGTAGCCGAGTAATCGAACCAAAATCCCCAAAATTATGCTTTTTTGTGAGCTCTGCCCCCCCCCTCTAAAGGAGACTCAAAACAACCAAATCCAACTTTTTTTTATGTCAATGTGTTTGACGCATGAAAATTTATATTTTTGGCAATTTTAATATTGATTGCTGTAAATATGACCGCACAGGAGCTCAAAATATACATTTTTGGGTTGCTTGACTTTCACCCCCTTAAAAAGGCTTAAATCAAAAGATGTCTGGGCGTATTGGACCAAGTTTCAAGTCAATCCTCCGAGGAATGAAGGAATGGCGGTCGATTGAAATGTGTTTGGATGAAAAGCAGTACGTCTCTCTGCGGAGACAATAAACAATTCGTCATATAAACAAGAAATTAATGCGGCATATTCAGCTCATTTTTTCTTTTAAAAACTATGCTTACTATAGAAATGTTTAATAATCGATCACGACATTATAGTTTGTCGAAACGTTGTACATTTGCTGTTATGTTAAACTTATATTAAAGTTTTTCTTCATTACCCATTCAAGCCGTCTCCAGCCATTATTAGTCTCAAAGTGGGTTCCTCGTCATCGAAAAAGTAACAACTGTTTTAATTAACCTTAAATAAACACCATTATCAAAAAAAAAGGAAGAATCGCAATATGAAATATATCATTAATTTCTATACATTATTTATCCAAATCAAATACACCCTGATACACCAGTATACATTTCAACAAGTTTTTTTTTTTCGGCTACTGTTACAATTTTTCATCTTTACATTTGTACGTTTTGATACTGAGTTTCAAACACACACACAAATATATAATTTTTGTTTCCGGTACTTGACGAAAAAATTGACTATTTTATTTTTAAATCTACACTCAACAACTATACATTCAAAATTCAGTTTTAATAAACTAGTAACGAGTTATAGTAGTCAAATGTATCAATAATGTCTCGTTAATATAGCCCCTGGTGATTTTTTTTATTATTACAAACTACTTTTGACATTTTTCAAATACAGAAGAAATATGACGTTGGTTCGGTTTTTGTTATTAAAATTTTTATTTGTACTTCTTCCAAAAGAAAATTTTAGAAATACATTTGAATGAAATGTTCTAAGGGAATGATAAGCGCAGAATTTTACAAAAACTACGTTTAACCTCGATTAATCACGAATTAAGCATGGGACGGAAATGGCAGAAAATTACATCATTTTGTTTCAGATACTCGCGCAAGATGTTTTAGTTTATTTATATAAGGCCTATCTGTGTTGGCTGTCCCCAATTACGCGCGCGTACACACAAACTTACGAACTGGATGTAACCTAAAATGACTACACGATATACTATAGTTTCTTTACCTATAGTTCATTATTAAATGAATCAAATGTGAAAAAAAGAGTAAAACCATGTACTCAGGAATGCGTTATCCAATTTTATCAACATCGAAGTTTACAACTAAGTTTTTTAATAATGGCTGGAGACGGCTTGAGTGGGTAATGAAGAAAAACTTTAATATAAGTTTAACATAACAGCAAATGTACAACGTTTCGACAAGGTTTTGTCATCATCATTACCCACTCAAGCCGTCTCCAGCCATTATTAGTCTCAAAGTGGGTTCCTCGTCATCGAACTAAGTTTTTTGTTTGCTTGTTTACCTAAATAGCTAAAAAGAAGCAGGAAGACTTCTAGTACTGACATTTTTTACCAAGAAATTGTTAGTCGGACATTCGGTCCTCTTCTTGCCCAACTGTACATAAGAGACACAGAGAAATGGAGTGACCCTCATCAGTGGACAGAAATATACCTTACCCCAAAATCTGCCATTTATTTCGGAATCCATTCAAGGATAATATGGAATCAACAGATGCCCTCACCATACTCAACATCCACAACCAAATGCATGTAAACAACTTTGGTGTGTCGAAAACTTGCGGGCACCTTGAACCCTTGTGAAAGATAGCGAATATCTGATGACAGTTTTGTTTAAAAAAATAAAAGAAAAAAAAAGGGAGCAATGGCAGAGAAAATACAAACACATATATGTATGATATTCAGTGTTCACTATGGAGCTCTTACTGAATTCTACCTGTTATAACTTCCAATTACTTGAAGATTTGGATTTTTAAGTACTGAGCCTTTGATAAAACAATATTCACCGTTGTATAATTATAAAAGGAAAATATCACTAGTTATTTTATTATGTTGTAAATATTAAATACATTACAAGTACGCACTTTCTAGCCGTTATATATTTCTAAGGTATACACTTGTTTAGAGCTCTCATTTTATAAAGAGTGAAACTTATTTTCACTAGATGCTCGCTCGTCGGGCGTGGTCTGGTAATTAGCGTGCCCAGACTATGAATTTGAAGGTTCACGTCTCGTTGCTACAAAAATGTCTTTGGGAGCGTGAGTGCGTTAGCATATATGAGCAGAGTAGCGCATGAGTTGGCGGCAGGTGCTGTTGCCTAGCTGCCTTCCCTCTGGTCTATCAGTTCAAAAGTAGGAATGGTTTTGCGCAGATAGGACTTTGTGTAGCATTATGCGAAAACTGAATATAAGCAAGCCCATATACCTGAAATAGACGTACAGGGTGAAAAATCCTTGCGTAGCCGGTGCTGTAGGCTGGTAGTAATGAATCAACAATAAGATTCCAAAATGACAATTCTACAAGCTGCTTTTATAGTTGTTTTTCTGGAAAAAGAAAAACATCGCCAAAAACATTTTTTTTTTCTCTCCGACAAACCAGTGTTATATATGATGAGTAACGTCTAAGCTTCAAAGTATATCTTATAGTTAATGATACAACAACGCAACAATACTGATTATAATAATTTTCATTACACATCTCTTTATTACCCCATAAGAGTTTCTAGTAAGAGTTGATTGTAACAAAGATAAAGAAAGATTATTACAATTATTCTCAGTCTTGTTGTGGTGTTATATCACACTATCTACTGAGCACTGTTTCTTATGATTGTAACATAAATAACATTCATAATTATCACTCGGAACTAAAAACCGAAAGATGCAGTTACTACTCAATGACTGATTATATATTAGATTAGTCTTAAATATCAAAAATACTCTATTTGGACAAATATGCATGCAATTAAATATGATTTAATATATGCGATGACCTATAAAAAATGAAATTATTATTTCACTTTGTATGTTCATAACAGGTGCACGTCAATAATCATTATATAGTGTTACGCATAGGTTAATTCTAACTGGACAAAACACTGGGCCTTACAAATCGATGTGTGGACTGTTTTTCTGAAATATGTTGAGTGACAGTTTACACTTCTACGTGAACTCACTTCGATTTCACTATATATTGCAAGCTTTCGAATCTTTCAACGTTCGTGGTCACCCATCGTTTTAAGTTATTTTATTTTTCTACAGACACAATAGTCGACTGTTGAAGCAACACGTGAGCTGACAAATATCTCAAGAGTAAATTCTCCGGATTCTAATCTCATCTTCCACCATTTGTACAAATGCACTTAGAGATCTTATTGTAATGCACATACACGCTTTGCACACCTTTGTCGTAATAAAAAAAAAATCGCATGGGAAAAAACACACACACAAAGGGAAAATATATGGGGTAAAGCATTATTATCAGGCAGGCAGCAGCACTGCCTATATAAGGTTGGCTCGGATTGTTCGTCGAAATGGTATTTTAAATATCTCCTCAATAGGTCATCAGAACTTTACAATACTATACAGTGTTTCCTTTTTATAATAAAACACGGAGCCTTTACAAATCGATATGTGGGCTGTTTTTCTGAAATATGTTGAGTGACAGTTTACACTTCTAGTTCTGGGAATATTTGTAAAATCATAGCAAA